ATGTTACATTTTACCATCGGCTTATAATTTAGTGGTACTTATAGTTTTACATGTTCATTCGACATGTGTGTATAAGTTTAGAGGTAACCTAGGAGTTGGAACAACATGTAATGGAGTTTGCATATATGTTACTGTGCCAGGACTCTCCATCATATCAATATCTTCAACCTTAACACCATTAGGCAGTGACCAAACAAAATGGTGCAACAAATGAGCTAACATAGACGTGACCAAATTAATTGCAAGGTTCATTCCTGGACATATACGTCTACCAGCACCAAATGGTAAAAACTTATAATCATGTCCCTTCATGTCAACATCCTCTTCTATAAATCTTTCTGGCCAAAATTGCAATGGCTCTTTCCAAATTTTTGGATCACGACCTAACGCCCACACATTAACATGTACAATTGAATCTTTAGGAATTTTGTAACCACCCACTTTGACATCGTTACCTGCCATGTGAGGCAACATTAGGGGAGTTGGAGGGTGCAACCTTAGTGATTCTTTGACTACATGTTGTAGATAGGAGAGTTTGGAAATATCTATTTCGTTTACGATACGATCTGATCCAATAACTCCATCTAGCTCCTCTTGGACCTTTTGTTGAACTCTTGGATTCTTTACTAGTTCGGCCATAGCCCATTCAACAGTAATGGCTATTGTGTCCATCCCTGCTGTTATCATATCCTACATGATTTTACAATATTGTCAGTGTAAATATATTTTATGCTATTATTGTATAAAGTTAAACTTACTATCAAAATATACTTACCCAAAGGAGGCCAATAACAGTGTCATCACTAAGATCATACTCGTTTTGTAGAGTAAGCAAAGCATCAACAAAGTGTTGTTTAGTTTCCCCAGTTATTTTCCTAGCAATTGTGTGTTCTTCCATTATAATTCTTGTAAATTCCTCCAAACGTCTATCTTGTGCCTCAAGAGCTTCATCTTCATCTTTAAATGCCCAACGTAGCCATGGTACAAATTCTCCCAAATTTAATTTTCCTCCTATTTTAATCCCATTTGTTACAATAGCTTTGAGTTCTTCACCTTGTTTATCAACTTCACCTTCTGAGTTCATAAATCTTTTTCCAAATGTTAGCCTTGTTATATTGTTGAATGATACTGATCCCAAGTAGCCCCTTAGCATCATACAATTACTAACATTGCCTGCACACAAAGACGGATTCAATATTTAAACTCTAGAAGAATAAGTCAAAATACTTGCATGCTCCCTTAAATTAAAATAACTAACAAATCATGTATAATATATGAATATTCAGACCACATAACATCTTATGAGTTTACATTTTGTGTATTGACTAACAATATCTACCATAGTATCATAAAATACGTTGACCATTATATATATATATATATTGTATTGATTCCCTTTTGGATTATCGATTAAGAAAAAATATATATTTTAAAAGCGTGTGGTATGGGGTTCAATTCTCTCTCATATGTATTGACATTTGACTGGAATAAAGAAAAAACTTTCCGATGGAATTGTAGTGCTATTTAATGATTATTGATACAATTAACGTACTTTAGTCACGTAATATTGAATATTATATTTGATTTAATTAACGAAATGATAATGATTGTTGCTCCTAACGTTGACTCTTAATAATTTCACATTTGAAAAGGTTATCGAACCTAACTTCACATACTGCATGATTGAAGTTATTCCGAGGTGGGTAGACGTAGTAAAAAATAATAGTCGTAAAAGTGAAAGGAAACTTACAATGCTTATTAGAATCTCTGTAAATGTTGTGAATCATGGCAGTAACTTCATCTTCTCTAATGGGCCTAAGAGCTTCAAGTCTCTTTGGAGTAAAAAGTTCAAGATTACAAAGCTTTCTTACTTTCACATAATGAGGTCCATAATCAGCCCATATCAAATCCATCCCATTTTTACTCACACTATCAAGAGGTTTTGTTCTAAACCTATTGGCCAAATTTTGATCATTATCTTTAAGAACTTGTTTAGCAAGTTCTGCATTATTCACCACCACGTTTAGTTGTGACCCGAGGTAAAAAGAAAAGATAGGCCCATAAATTTGGGCCCATTCAGCAAAACACCGGAACCTCACTGGGGTTATGTTGAAGAGGTTTCCAATGACCGGCCACGGCCAAGGACCCGGAGGCAGCTTGGCCGTGAGCCGGTTGTAGAGTTTGTAACATAAAAAGATGATAAATACTGATAGAGAGAGTACTAAAGGAAAAGCCATTATGGGAAATAATGTTGTATGTGTTTGATGAAAAAAGGCAAGCTAAGGTCCCCTTTAAATACTATTTTTTTCATTCCCTCAAAGAAGAAAAAGTCCTACTTTAATAGTATATTCAAATTAGTATGAGATATAGATATATACACGCTTTGTGTAAAAAAAATAATAATTTATCCTATCAAATCATAAGTCATAATGGCTTATGTTGTAATCACGGGTAGAGTCAAAAATTTTATTTATATAAATAAAAAAGTAAACAGACGCCAAAGTAAAAAAGATTCCAATTATATATATATATATATATATATATAATTATTTTAATTTTATATATACGATATAATTTTTTTAAAGAAAGTTCAAATGAACCCTTGCGGTCAACAACAATATATTCAATAAAATCTCACAAGTGGATTTTAAAAGAGTATAGTACATGCAAACATTATTACTATCTCGTGAAAGTATTAGAGAGATTGTTTCTGAAAAACCTTCAACTCAGATATAGCAAATTGAAGTACAAAAAATAAGAAAAATATAGCAACTAACAAAGAAAGTAAAGTGCATATCTGAACGATAAACCAAATGGTAAAAACCCTTTGCGGTCCAACACATTAATTGTGACCAACTTGTAAAGAGTGAAACAGTAGTTGAGAAAAGTGTGTTTATTATTCCATAGTTGACCATATCGCCTTATTTAGTTGATTCATAAGTTGAATTGACAAATTATACGTAGTAAATTATAACTTGCGGCATCACCAACTTGATTCTTTTATGATTTAACACATATATATAAAAGTAATCATATATTAATTATGCATGTCTATCTATATTAAATTAATCTACCTTGCTCCCACTTTCATGCAATTCCAATAAGCTTAGAAAAAAGCACTTATTATCATTTTATACTTATTCTATCTTATGCTATTCATTTTTCAATGTAATTTTCAAACTATTGAATTTATAGTATATCCAAAAATAATAATAGAGTTGAAATTTTTACGAAGAGAGTTTGAAATATAAAAAGTAAATACACGAAAACGTCAAAGAAAGTTCATGCATATCTAAGATTAATTTTAATCATATATAAAAGTGTAACTTTCCATCGAAGGGGTTTAGATAAACTCTCTTAGCCCTACCTCTGCGGCTCTGCCCCTGTTCAAAGGATAATACAGTAAACTACTTGTCATTTTATTAATTACTTTTAATGAGGTGTATCAACTTAAACATGAACAAGAAAAAATAAACGAGGAAGTATAGTGTTGAAATATCATAAATAATAAATGATATTTTGTCGATAAATTACAATATATTTAAATTCTAGTCATACGCACTCTTATTTTGAACGACTTGAGTATTTTTTAATTGGCAGAAGCTAATTAAGGCCTACCAATTAATGCAAATTATTGCTCTTTTGAAATTCAAGAAAGAAACATTCAACTGAATTTGACGTGAATTGGCATTAATATTTTAGTCGAAAATATTCAACTGAAATTAACGTGAATTTGCAATAATATTTTTGTCGAAATATTTAAGAGAGTTGCAGTATATTGATCATTATTATTTACCACTGTAAAACTAATCGACATGTAACGAAATTTAAAGCAACACAATTATTAAAGCGGATCCAAACAACATATATATAATGTTTGGACTGTGATGAGCCTAAATAAAGCAATACATAGACAATACAATTTATTTATCGAATTATAATGTATCGAGGCAGAACTATTATATATCGTAATACTCATATTAAGATCTTTGGACCTTTTTTGAAAGTATAACAAACTTTTTTCAAACTAGATATGTCACCTTCAAATACGCATGACACAATAAAATTAATGGTTTTGTATGAAAAGAAGAAGAAAAAAAACGTCAACTTTTGAATGGTCAATATATATAGTTATATACCATCTAATTTGAGTAATGTGAA